TGGGTTCCATCGAACCCAGTAGCTGGGTTCGCTGGAACCCAGTTGCTGGGTTCGCTGGAACCTAAGCGGGGTTCCGTCGAACCCAGCAAACTGGGTTCAATGGCCTGCCGAGGAAGAAGAGGAAGAAAGAAGAGGAAGAATAGGAAGAAAAAGAGAAAGGAAGAAGACGGAAGTTTTTTATTTTTCATTTTTAAATATAAATAATGTGAGTTGGCATGAAAAAAAAATTCATATCATGAAAAAAAAAAATTCACATCAACACGTTTTTAATTTGTTTTTTCCACGTCATCAAAAAAATAATAAAAAATACCACATAAGCGAGTTAACGATCGAAATTAACAGAAGGACTAACGGAGTGCATTTCTTAGAGTTGAGGGATCAAAAAAGTGCAAAAAATTGTTGAGGGACCAAAAATGTGCAACTCACTAAAGTTGAGGGACCAAATTTAACATTTAACCAAAGATGATTGATGTCTATTTTTCTTTTTTTTTAATCAAAATTTATTAAAAAGAGTACAAAAGATACTCACCCTTACAAAAAAATAATAATAATAATAATAATAAAGAATACAAGGATAGTAGTTTGGCAATTAAGTTTGAGTGGCACAATAATTTAGAAATTGGCACCATTCACCATGGCTAAACACTGCTCATTTTGACTTCCCTTTAATCCAACCGAATGACTTAGCTGGCACTAAATCAACAAGGTTACTTTCCTCCCAAGACAGTTTGTTAAACACAATACCATTTTTAAAGTACCAGATTGTCCAAGCTATGGTGAAAATAGTGAGAACCCAGCAATTCCATGAACCCCTAAAGTCCATAAGGGAGCAAAGCCGTGTAAGCAAAAGGAAAGCATTTTCAGAATTAGAAAAAGATGATTGATGTCTATTATTATTGCCTTGAAACGCTTATAGTAGAAGACTATTTCAACAATTACATTTTTATATTATAGTCCTAGTGGATTATGTTAACTTGCAGCTTCATAGTCAGATGAAGATCAGTTTTGGCTACAATAATATCAATATAACTTGCATGATTAATATATGGTTAACCAAATGTTTTACACTTTTAAATTAAATTTTGTAGTGCCTTCAATACACTACGCCATATGAATTAACTTGTAATTTTTACTATACTCTATTATTGATAAATGAATTTATGTCTACTTAGAAAAAAGGCTCATTATATTTCTTCCCACCTCTCTCTTTCACCCCACATATGGTTTGTAAACATTTATTCCTGGGCCTAACTCCTACGTACACATCAAATGCATTATCAGGATTGGTGTGGTGGTTGATATAAGAACACATTTTAATGTCCATAGCCACATTACTAACCCATCTCCTTCCTCACCCTTTAAAAGCTCCCAACTGCAACTCATATTGTAATTTAATTTTAAGCCATGCCTCCTCTACCTTCCAGTTCCTCTGCTCTTCAATGGCTTAGCCTTGTCGGAATTGTCTGGCTTCAGTCCATAAACGGAACAAATTCCAATTTTCCCGCCTACTCATCCCAACTCAAGAATCTTCTTTCTATCTCCCAACTCCAACTCAACAATCTTGCCTTTGCCTCCGATACCGGAAAGCTCTTAGGTTGGGTTTCTGGTATTGCTGCTGTCTACCTTCCCTTATGGCTAGTCCTCCTCATTGGTTCCACTTTGGGCCTGGTCGGCTATGGCCTACAGTATCTCTTCTTGATAAACAGCATCTCTAATCTTTCTTACGCTCACATTTTCTTTCTCAACATCCTAGCAGGAAATAGCATATGTTGGATCAACACGGTTAGCTACTTGGTTAGCATCAGAAACTTCCCCTTGGAACGACAAGTTGCTGTGGGGGTAACAACTAGCTACCTTGGGTTAAGCGCAAAAATTTATACAGATATTGTTAACCTCATATTCCCTTCTTCACCCAAGAAAAGAGCTAAAGGCTATCTTCTCCTCAGTGCCATCTTGCCTTTACTTGTCTGTGGTATAACTGCACCAATGGTTCGATACTTGGATGTTGGGAAAGGTAAAACTAAGAAGATGAGAGGTGCTTTTATTGTTATGTTTGGCATCACAATTGGCACTGGTGTCTATGCTGTGTTGGGCAGTTTAGGACCGATTTCTATCTGGTTCTCACCGTTAGCTAGAGTAATCGGAATGGGACTACTCTTACTATCCCCGCTACTAATTGTTGCTGGAGAAAAGATTGCATCAAAATTAGGATTAGACAGAGAGGAAAGAGTGTACATAGAGGAGGAAAATACCGTGGTGGAGAAAATAGAAAACGAAGAAGAAAGCATAAACGAGTTAAGAGTAAGGGAGGAGATTGGAGTGAAGCTGATGTTGAGGAGAGTGGAATTTTGGTTGTATTTCTTTGTGTATCTGTTTGGTGTAACACTAGGGCTGGTTTTCTTAAACAACTTGGGGCAAATAGCAGAGTCTCGCAGGTGCGAAGGAACTTCGTCACTAGTTTCATTGTCTTCATCATTTGGGTTCTTCGGCCGTCTTCTACCATCTCTAACAGATTACTTTTTCTCAAGGTATAAAATTAAGGCTAATCGTGTTCCGTTAATTGTGGAATTTCTAGAATATATATATATAGAACTGTTAGTACATTATATATTTTACAATATTGGTTTTTAATTATATGTATAATTTTTTTGATTTTTCAGAAGTAAGCACATGATTTCAAGGCCAGCTTGTGTGGCAGCATTAATGGTCCCAACTGCGGGAGCATTCTTCTTATTGCTGAATCCAACCAACCGCTCCCTATACATCAGCACTGCCATTATAGGGGTATGCACCGGTGCAATTACTTCCATGTCCGTATCCATAACCACCGAGCTGTTTGGGACAAAAAACTTTGGTGTGAATCATAATATTGTGGTTGCCAACATTCCAATCGGATCCTTTCTCTTTGGCTACCTCGCGGCTTTTGTTTACCACAACCAAGCCAATTCCGCTGGACAATGCATCGGGGTGCTTTGCTATCAAAACACCTTCATCTTATGGGGTTCGCTTTGCCTACTCGGCACCCTCCTAGCTTTTCTGCTTCATATTCGTACCCGAAAGTTTTATACACCATAGCTGTAACAGTTAGTTAGTTAGGTTTACATAATTTAGACTAGCTAGCTACTTTATTATAACCTAGTAAGCTTTTTATTTAATTTTTTTTTTAAACTGAAATAAAATAGCCAGCTTATGTCTGTACAAACAAAGTTATTAATGAATTATATATGTTTATATTTATATATGTATGAAAAAAGATTGTGTTAATCTGTTTATTATTTTTCATATATATTGATATATTTATATAGGTGAAATATAACACTACAATATTAAGCATGGAAAACAGCAATGTTGGCCAACCGATAAATTCCTCTCGTTCCAAAGTAACTGTTATTTTTTTAATTTTGAGTTTATTTTAAATTTGTTATTATATTTTTTATTTTTTTAAATAAACAAATATTTTTCTTTACTTGAACTTTATTATTATTTATTTATTTATTTTAATTAAATATCTTATTACAAAAAGTTTTATTTTATTTTTTAACTTTTTATAAAGATAATATAAGTAAATATATAAATCGTTTTTAAATCTTTAATTTGAAAAAAAATCAAAAAATGACTATTATTATAAGACAAATAAAATATATTTTTGTGATATTGTTTAAATTATAAATTATAAATTTATTTAACAGTGTCACATCTTACATTTTTTAAACAAGTGGCTATGATAAAACGCTATCAAACTTAATGGTGCTGTGATTAGGAGTATTACAAATCTTATTGATGGCTATTATGTATTTAGTCAGATATGGTGTTCCTTTAATTATCTCTTATTGATTTGGTGTTATTTGACTTTAGTGGATATCATGGCTAAATTTTGAGAAAAGTTTATGGCCATCATCACCTAGTGGCTGAGGTGGTTGACAAGTGGCCAATTTTAGAGAGAGTTTAGATTTAGATTTGTTAAGTTGTCTAATTAATTTCAAAAAATTGATCATATTTTACATATATGTGAGTGAACGGTTACTATTTTTTTTAAGACATATAAAATAAAAAAAATTATAGTAAGTAAAGAACGGTAAGCTCTATGCATAATTTATCAAATTCAACCTTTAAATTTTCATATAAAAGAAGAACACAACTTTGTCATTTTTTTTTTTATTCAACCAACCAAATGATTATAACTTAAATTTAAGATTTTTTTATTATATTTTAAAAAATTACCACTAA